TAAGTGAAGTTATTACTTACCCAGTTATAATAATATGTCACTGGACTTTAGAATTTGGTAGCAAACTTTAGTGAAAGAATTAGAAACAACAACTAAGTTAAGGAAATTGTTTCCTTTGGTTCATGAGCCAAATTACACTGTAAAAGTATGGTATACCCTGCCCATACATGTAGATTCAATCATGTGACCATTCCTTCCAGAAGGCTTGTTTCCAGTGACAATTCTTAACAGAGACTTTATGATGAATTGCATTTTGCCCTATTGATTATCTAGGAGAGTCCAACAGAACATAGTTTGAGTTTTCAATTGTGATTCCTATCCAGTAACATAATCAAGTCAGTTTTTTAGAAAGGATTCAGGTAGTTTTTCTTTATCTTTTGAAAGAACATTAAATAGATCTTCCCATATATGTCCTCTGTTTTCTATAGATTGTTATAATAAATAATTTTAAGATGTTTATTTTCCTAAATCTAAAAAGAAAATTCTCTCTTCCATGTTATGGAGTTGTCGATAAGCCTTGTGCTGAGTTTTGGCATCCAGATGGATTTCCTTATGCATGATGGGGCAGATTCCTATGCCAGAGTGAAGATTCACCAACAAATAACTGAGAGAGAAAAAAAGGATGCATAAGCAGATATCTAGTTATAGGTGTTTGCTTTTGTTATTGTCTTAAGATGTAAGAGAAGTGGCAAATGTCAATTCAATGTTAGAAAAACATTATAAAAATGACAGAAACATTTAAAAATCATGGTGGTCTAAGTTTGTTGAAAACAACAATGAATGGTTTTTAAAATTTGGCCCCAACAACAGCAGGACCTTTCAAGAAATTGTTCCCCTTCACTGAAGTTATAAAATTTGTGGATATAGAGTTAATTATGGTATTCCTTTGTTACTCCTTTAATATCCATAGAATCAGTATTAATGGCCCCTCTTTCATTTCATAAACTAGTAATTTGTATCTTTTGTCTTTTTTTCTTGGTTTGCCTGACTAGAGGTTTATATATTTTATTGATCTTTTAAAAGAACTAGTTTTTTATTTCATTGGTTTTATCTAATTATTTCCTGCTTTTAATTTAATTTGTTTCTGTTCTTATTTTTATCACTTCTTATTTTCTGCTTACTTTGGATTTAATTTGTTCTTCCTCCTTGAGTTCCCTAACTTGGAAGCTTAGGTTTTTGAATTCTTCTCTTCTAATACATACATTCAATGTCATAAATTTCTTTCTGGCCATTGTTATCACTGTATCCTATAACTTCTGATATGTTATATTTTTGTTTTTGTTTAGTTCAAAGTATATTTTAATTTCTCTTGAGATTTATTTGAATAATGTCTTATTTAGAAGTATGTTATCTAATCTCCAAATATTTGGGGAATTTCCAGTTATCATTCTGTTATTTATATTTATTTTTAGTTTAATTCCATTGGGAATTGTGAACTTACTTTATATGATTTCTCTTCTTTTAAATTTGTTAAGGTGTGTTACTTGGTCCAGAATATGGTCTACATGGGTCAGTGTTCCATATGAGCTTGAGAAGAATGTGCATTCTGATGTTGGATGAAATATTTTATAAATGTCAATAGATTCAGTTGATTGATGGTGCTGTTCAGTTCAACTATGTGCCTACTGATTTTCTGCCCACCGGAGCTATTGATTATCAATTGAGAGATGTTGACGGTTTTAACAATAGTAGTGGATATGTCTATTTCTCCTTGATGTTCAGTCAGTTTTTGTTTTGAATATTTTGACATCCTCTTGTTAGGCATGTAAACATTAAAGATTGTTACCTCTTCTTGGAGATTGTATGTTTCTTGGAGAACTTTATGTTTAGGTGATGTCCTCTTTATCCCTGATGATTTTTCTTGCTCTGAGTATGCTTTATCTGAAATGACTATCATTGCTCTCACTTTATTTTGATTACTGCTAGCCTGGTATATTTTTCAATATTCCCTTATTTTTTAACATACTTAAATCTCAAATTATATGATATTTGTTACTGTTTTCTTTCATTGGTCTTGTTCTGGCTTTGTTTTGTCCTTTACAATCCTCCCCCCTTTTCTGGTTTAGTTCAGCATTTAATATGACTCCATTTCTCACTTCTGTTAGCAAAACACTTATATTCCTTTAAAAAAATTTTAGAGAATGCCTAGAGTTTTAGCACATATTTATAAGTAACTGAAGTTCATGTTCACGCAGTGCTGTAATGCTACACTGATAGTGCAGATTTCTTATAATAGCATCCCCAGTTCATCCCTGTCATCCCTAGTAATATCACTGTTACTTATTTCACTTATCCATAAGCTATAATTAACAAATATACTGTTGCTATTATTATTTTAAGTAAACTGGTGTCTCTTAGATCAATTAGAGATAATACAAATGAAATGTTTTCTTTTACCTACATTTATTTCCTTTTCTCATGCTCTTCCTTTCTTCTTATAGATCTGAGTTTCTGACCTATATCATTTCTCATCTCTCTGAAAAACGCTTAACGTTTTTTGCAAAGCAGGTCTACTGTCAACAAATGTCCTCAATTTTTGTTTGTCTAAGAAAGTCTTTATTTCTTCCTCAGTTGTGAATGACATTATTTCTGGTAAAATAGTTTTATTTGAGGCCAGACCTTTGTTATAAAGGACAGAACTCTAAGCAGATCTCCAATTCGTTAATCCCCATCCCATGCCTCCCTGCCAGAAACATGACAGAATTTTTCTCTGATTTTCATCTTGAGGAATTTGACTCCTGGGGGTAAAACTCAGAATGTACAGCAGCCCTTTTCAGGCTTAGCCCAGGAGTTTGTAATCTCTCAAGGTAGTCCAAGAGCAGTCACTAGCAATTAGTCACTTATACTTGTGTTTATTTTTTTTTAAATATCTTACTGTAGAAAGAGCATTGAAAATGAGATTTCTTCTTAAGAAATTAAGTGTATAATATATCATTGTTGACTCTAGGCAAAATGTTGTGCACATAAATATTACAACCTGTTGCTGTTGCCTGTGGCTGTTTCTGCTCTTGGGAAACTGTGAACTGTATATTCCCTTGTCTCTAGTTTTCAGGGCAGTGGTTTGCCCTGTGACTTCAATTCTCTGGTGACTCTAAGTAGAGTTGTGGTGGTTGTTTTTACTGAAGTTAGTTGACACACAATGTTACATAAGTTCCAGGTGTGCAACATACTAATTCAACAAGTCTGTGCATTATGCTGTGCGCACAGCAAGCACAGCTACCATCTGTCACTATACAACACTGTTACAGTACTACCGACTGTACTTCCTATGTTGTGCTTTGTATCCTTGTGACTTACTCATTTCATAACTGGAAGTCTGTACCTCCCACTCCCCTTTACCTACCCTCTTCCCTGTGGCCTAAATATAGAGTTTTTAATCTTCAGTTAGTTCAGCTTTTTTCTTGTTGTGAGAATGGGATTGATGAATTTCAACCTCGTTATGTGTTAGGCAGGAAGTTGAGACTATTTGTTTATTTGTAAAACACCAATGCCATCATTTAAAAAAGTTACAGGAAGAAATATTTGCTAATTTAACCTTTTGGTCCCTTCCCAGAAGTAACTGTGACATTGCTGACCCTAACCTGATCTTTCTGCTCCCAGAAAAAAGTGGTGGTTACAAAATCTCCAGCACTACTTTATTTTCTAGAATCTTCTAAACTTTTGTGTCCAAGGAAATGGCTCACAGCAAAGAACCATGCTTCCCCACATGATTTGGATGAAATTCACAGTTTATTCTTTTTTTTTGTGACTCCCTGAAGATTCACAGATAACCCCTTCCTTATTTCAAGGTCAGATACAGACCTTTGAAATTCCCATTTTTTGTCTCAAACGATTAGCAGAAATGTTTATTTCCTCATACTAGCTAGACAAAAAGATAAATATATCTTATTCAGCTGACTGACTGAGACCTCTCCTTGGTTATAAGAACAATCTTTATTATATAATTATCTTACCTAGAAACTGTTTATCCCTGCTTATATATGTTCAAAGCAAACCACCCAGCTAAGAAACTCTGATATTGAGATCTTGGGTGCTCTCCTTACTGGAATGCCTGAATAGAATCATTTTCCTTACTTGTCTGGATTTTTGTCTTTGACACACCTCCTAGCAAGTTTATACTTATTTCCACCTGCTGTATGAAATAGTTTTAAAGACTTTATCATTTTAATTTGTTATGAATTTTTCAACCTCAAACTCTAAATGGTAACTTCAAGACATAATAAAATGATTTGGCATTTGCTCATATTATCCCATGCCCAATACAATCAATCATGCATTATTAGTTGCAAGAAGAAAGTCATTTTTTAAATGTCAGTTTGTATAAATCTGTGAAATTATAAAAAACAAACTATTTTTCAAAATATAATTTTTATTTTGGTAACTTCCATGGAAAATTATTATATTAATAAGATTTTTTTCCAACATTTTGACATTTTTAGAGTTCCACATAATCTTGTTTTGTTATACAAATCAAACCCTAATACCATACTGACAGAGTCTGAAATAAATGCAAATAAACTATATACACATATATATATACACACATAATGCTGTGATGCTACACTGATAGTGCAGATTTCTTATAATAGCACCCCCCAGTTCATCGCTGTTATCCCTAGTAATGTCACTGTTACTTATTTCACTTATCCATAAGCTATAATCAACAAATATACTGTTGCTATTATTATTTTAAGTAAACTCGTGTCTATTAGATCAACTAGAGATGATACAAATAAAATGTTTTATTTTACCTTCATATATATTTTACCTTCATTTATTTCCTTTTTTCATGTGCATATATATATATATATATATATATACATATATATATATATTCTAACTCTAATCAAATGTACTTTCAAGATCCTACTAAATGATGTTTCTTGCAGTCTTCTATTCTGAGAACCACAGATTTTGATAGTCAAATTCAATTACATCCTATCCTTGGCAACATACATTCTTCTAACCGGATGTTAAAAATGAAAACCTTTCTGTTTTAGTTCTGGCTGAGACTTCAGATTCCAAGAAGAAAACAATAGCAAGCAAGTGCTTCCACATTCCACACTGAGGTAATACACTGCCTACTTTGGACTAGCAAAGAAAACAGTAAGGAAAGAAAAATGAAAATTTTTTTCAAGCTCTAGTTAAATATTCATCAGCATATACACGTTTTGAGGTTGAAAAAACTAAGAGATTTTTTTTTTTTCATTTTGGATAAAGCTGTTGAACTGCTATGGCATTCCACTCTTCCTCACCTTCCCACCCCACCCCACCCCTGTAGTTTCCCCCTACTCAAAGGGTGAGAAAAGCAAGGATGGTACTTTATTCTTAACTGAAGTCACTCACAGAGTTTTAATCAAATCATTTGGAGACCTTGATATATATGCTCTGGAGTGACAAAATAGCATGCAAGCATCTGAGGAACCCCTGAGACACAGAGAGATGAAGTAGCTATCACACATGTCCTACAATGATAAGTGAATGTTTTCTGCAATCTACGCTGTGCCAAACGTGAAAAAAAACTGGCTAGGAATCAATTTATTTATTATTTATTTATTTTTTTTTTAATTTTATTTATTTCTAGGAGAGAGAGACAGCGTGAAGAGGGGAGGGTCAGAGAGAGAGGGAGACACAGACTCAGAAATAGTCTCCAGGCTCTGAGCTGGCAGTCAGCACAGAGCCCGATGCGGGGCTCGAACCCATGAACCGCGAGATCATGACCTAAGCGAAAGTCGGACGCTCAACCGACTAAGCCACCCAGGTGCCCCAGTAATCAATTTAAAGAGGACCATTTGCAGAAATGATATTACTCCAACCAAATGGGTACACATTCAGAAGTCCAAGGATGAGGGAGGAATTGTGAGTTGGGGTGCAAAGGACAAATGAAAAGATATTACCACTCAAGTAACTGGAAGTACAATAGAACCTCCCATGAGAGAAGAGTCAAATTTAAATATTTGCTAAAGCAAAATCACAATTGTGCTAGATAAGTAAAACCATTCCTTCCCCTACCTCTCTTTTCTTCCAACTTTTCTCACCCTGAATAGGATAGAAATGTGAGTTAGCAAGCTAAGGGTAGGTAAGAGAGAGGAAAAGAGAAGGTGAAGGCACATTCCCTTTTTTACTGCAGACTCCATACCTGAACAGACTGACTCTAAATGAAATTGGGTTTTGACAATGAGATGAGTCTGGACATTGTAACTACTAAATAAGACCAGATAAAGCCATGAAAGATCCCTTAGATATCACTAAAGAACAGGACATAACTAGTCCCATGGAAGAGTTTTTGGACAGGTAAAGGGGAAATAGAAGACAATTGTTTTCTGCCTGTACCATATGGAGACATCGTTTTAGTGAAAAGTTAGAGGAAGCTGCTGGTGTTTAGCACCATCCAAAATCAGGGGCCATTTTAATCATAAACTCCCTTCATGAACATATCCATTAACATCAAGACACAATTTTTTTTAAAGTGTTTTAAAGATTATTTATTTATTTTGAGAGAAAGAACACAAGCAGGGGAGAGGCAGGGAGAAGGAAAGACAGAATCCCAAGTGGGCTCTGCACCATCAGCACAGAGCCTGATGCAGGGCTCAAGTTCACAAACCATGAGATCATAACCTGAGCCAAGATCAAGACTCAGGTGCTTGCTTAACTAATTGTGCCACCCAGGCACCATATCAAGAGACAGTTTAAGTTTCATATTTCTTATAACTGCCCCAGTACTCAGTGATCATCAAATTTTAGAACTTTTATAACAGATTTTTCCTCCACTTTCTACTTGAATTTAGTGTCAAATATCTTACGTTGATTTTGTTTTACTGCTTTATTGAGATACAGTTGACCTACGTAATTTAGTGTTTAATACCTATTAAGCTAAGTACATCTATATATCTGAGGGCCCATTATCATAGGTAAGATAATGAACTTATTAGTTAATCCTAAATATTTTTCCATTAGCCTTTGTAATTCTTTCTTCTCACTTCCTTGCACCATACCCCATCCCCAGGCAAACACTGATCTACTTCTATCACTGTAGATTACTATACATTTTTTAGAATTTTATAGAAATGGAGAGAGAGAGAGCGAGCAAGCAAGCTGGAGACCTAGTGGTGTAGATTCCAGTCCAGTTCTAAAGACCTGAGTAACAGGAGCACTTAGGGAAGGAGATCAATGTTCTACCTTAAAGATGCATATTTTTTGTTCCATTCAAGTCTTCAGTGGATTGGATGATATCTACATTGTGCAAGAACTTCTGCTTTCCTCAGTCCACTAGTTTAAATGAGAATTTCTTCTACAAACACCGTCACAAACAGACCCATAAATAATATTTAATTAGCTACCTGGGCATCCCATGGCCTAATCGAGTTGACACATAAAATTAACCATCACAGGAATCATTCACTATGAGCCCCTTTTTATCTGACATCTTATACTCCAAATAATTATTTTGGTATTCGTCCATGTTGCAGGTTTTAATTCCATCGCATACATATTCTACAATTTATTCACTCACCTTTTAATGGGCATTTGAGTTGTTTTCAATTTACTACCTTGACTAAAGATGCTGTGAATATTTGTGTGCAATCTTTATGTGAACATATGCTTTTTTCTCTTGCCTAAATATCTAATTGTTACATAGCTAGATTATAACATAAGTATGGATTTAACTTTCTAAGAAAGCTTCTATACAGTTTTATAAAGTGGCTATACATCTTTTATATTTTCTCCTGCAGTGCATGAGACTTCTAGTTATTTCACTTTCTTACCAATGTTTGTTATCTTACTTTCTAACTTTATCCATTCTGTAGGTATATGATGGTGTCTCATTGTAATGTTAATTTGAATTTCCTTACTGACTCAAGATGTGCATCTTTTCATATGCTTAGTTTCCACCATTTAGAATTACAGCTAATAACCCCAAAAGGTTATAAAATGGAATCATAAAAAAATCAACCCAAAAGAAGCAAAACAAAAGAAAAAAAGAAAAAAATGAACAGATAGAAAACAAATAACAAGGAGATCATTTAATCAATAATATCAATAATCACATGTAATATAAATGGTCTAAACACTCCAATTAAAAGAGATTGTTAGATTGGATAAAATAATAAGATCCAACTATCATTGCCTAAAAGAAACCCACTTTAAATATAAATATGGCAATGGTAAAAAATTAATGGGATGGGAAAAGATACCATAGTAACATTAGTGAAAACAATGCTGAAATAGCTGTAGTACTTTCAGACATAATAGATTTCAAAACTAAGAATATTACAAGGGGTAAAGAGAGTCATTTCATAATGATAAAGGGGATCATTTCATCCAGCCCTAGTATATAACAGTCCTCCATGTATGTGCCTCAAACAACAGAGTTTCAAAATACATGAAAAACAATCTGATGGTACTATAAGAAAAAATACAGAGAAATCCACATCCAAAGGGCCAGATTGCATCCTTTTCTCAATGAGTGATAAAATAAATCTGTTGTCCTCAAGGTAACTAAAAACATGAACAAGATTACTAGTCAACATGAACTAATTGATAATTACAGAATATTCCATTTAACAGAACACTTGTTAATTTCTACTACGCACACGGCATTACCAAGAAAGGCTATATTCTGAGCCAGAAAAGAAGTCTCAAGTTAAAAGGTCTCAAATGAAACAAAGGATATTCTCTGACCAAAATGGAATTAAATGAGTAACCAAAAACAATGAAATACTGGGAAAATCCCTAAATGTTTGGAAACTTAGGACAAATTTTTGAATAATCCATGGATCAATGAACACAGGAAAAATAAGTTAACAAATATTCTGAAATGAATAAAAATAAACCAACATATCAAAAATTTTGAGATGTAGTTAAAACTGTACTTACAAAATTATAGCACTAAAAAACTATAAAAAAGAAGAAAATTATTGAGTAATCTTCTATGTGAAGAAATGCAAAATCTGAGAAAATTAAACTGAAAGGAAATAGAAGAACTGACGTCATTAGTGTGGAAAGTAAAAATAAATGGAAATAGAAAAATTAAAAGTGAAAACTGCTTCTCTGGGGTACCAATGAAATTCATCAACCTCTAGCCAGACTAATAAAGAAAATAGGAGTAAAGAAGACACAAATGACCAAATTAGGAATGAGAACAGTGATAGCACTACAAACTGTATTCCCATTCAAAGAACAATAATGTAACGTATTGAGTTTTAGGTCAATAATTTGGCAATTTAGATGAACTAGAAAATGTTCCTGAAAGACACAAACCAACAAAGTTTACTTAAAAAATAGGACATCTTGGACAGCCGTAGATCTAGTAAAGAAGTGGAATTATTAGTTAAAGCCTTCCCATAAAGAAAAATCTAAGATGAGATACCTCACTGGAAAATTCTAGAAAATATTTAAAGAGAAAATAATACCAGTTCTACCAGAAGTCTTCCCAAAAGTTGAGGAGAAAGGAACACCTTCCAACTCTATAAGCTCATTAAGATCCTGATGCAAAAGCCAGATAAAAACATTACAAAAAAAGAAAACTGAAGATGGATATCCCTTATGAACACAGATGTACAAGTTCCTAACATAATTTTAGAAATCAAATTTAAGAGTAAACCAAATAGGGTTTATCTCAGGGATACCTGTTTATTCTAAGATTTAAAAATTGACCAATGTAATTCTCTTTATTCACAGATCACAAAGGTAAAACCATGTAATTGTCTGAACTGATGCAGAAAAAAATGTTTAGCAAAATATACCATCCATTTTTGATAAACACTTTTATCAAAGTAAGCATAGAAGTGCATTTCAGACTCTAAGGAGATAATGAGTTGTTTTACTATTAGAGTAGAAAAGCTCTTTGTTTCTAGGAATGCCTGGATGTCTGGTTTGTGACTTTTAGGCCCATAATGGCATTTGAGTTTATTGCATATTGTTTTAAGGTATGAAACCCTTCTGATGACCCTAATGATCAGTTTCTTTATTGATGTTTGCAGCTGGCCTAACCATTTGACAAGCCTGCGTGACCAATTAAATGGCCAATAGAAGCTTCTCACGGAACTGTCCTGAAGCCAAAATTCCTTGCACAGATCAAGCTTGATCAAGATGAAGACAGGATGATACATGTGTGATACAGACATATGAATAGTAGCCCTGGGAAATCTGTTGTGGAATATCTTTCAGACACCTGTTGCTTGCTTCCAATCTCTTTTTGCTTTTGTACCTTATTCTTTGCCTCTAAGTAATAGTCTCACATTTGTGTTCTCTGTGGCGTCTGACTGAATGCTTTCAAATATCCACAGTGGGAAAAAATCTTTGCAACCTGACAAAGGGCATATAAGAAATACTAATAGTTTATACTAATGGTGAAAGACTGAATGCTTTACCTCTAAGATTAGCAGCAAAGCAAGGTGATACATTTTCATTATTTCTCTTCAACATTATACTGGAGATTCTAGCCTGGTCATTCAGGTAGAGAAAGAATAAGAGGTAAAAAAACAAACAAACAAAAAATAACAAAAAAACAAAACTACAAAGTTTATAAAGAAAGCTATCAGAACTAGTAAATGAATTTAATGAAATTACAAGGATAGAAGATCAATTTACAAAATTAATTATATCTATTGTATGAGTAGTGAACAGCTGGAAATTGATATTATGAAAATAATGCCACTTATGATGATATCAAATATATGAAATATTTAGGTAGAAATTTGACAAAAGAAGTGTGAGTTCTCTACAATGAAAATTATAAAACTTACCTGGGATAAAATAAAGATCTGAAAAATGGAGAAGTTTCTTATATTCATAATTTGAATGACTCCGTATTGTTAAAACATCAATTCTCTGAAAATTCTTATTTAGACTCAATGCAATCCGAATCAAAGTCTCAGTAAACCTTATTTTAGAAATTACCAATTTGTTTCTGAAATTTATATGAAATGATAAGACATTTAATTTTCCTTATTAAAAAAATTTTTGTTTAACATTTATTCATTTTTGAGAGAGAGAGATAGAGTGGGAGTGGGAGAGGGGCAGAGAGAAAAGAAGACAGAATCTGAAGCAGGCTCCAGGCTCTGAGCTGTCAGCACAGAGCCCGATGCAGGGCTTGAACCCACAAGTGGTGAGATCATGACCTGAGCCGAAGTTTGACACCCAACCTACTGAGCCACCCAGGCACTCCAAGACATTTAATTTTCAAAAGACACTGTTATAAAAACAAAAGTCAAGCAAAGGCCTGGGGAAAATAGTTGCTTGACCTATATCTGAGAAAGAACTTCTGTCTGGTATATATATAAAATTAATCTAATTCAATAATTAGAAGATAACATAATTTAAAATGGGTAAAAGATTTTAACACTCTTGTTTTGATTTTTACCTTTTTATGTAGGTAAGTCCTGCATAGCCGACATTTCTTTGAGCTACCGGCACCCATCACAGTTAGTAAAGATGTTTTACCTATGTCTAAACTTACTGAGAAAAATTTAAAGGAAATCTGTTCCCATAAAATTTAATTTTTTTCCCTATAATCTTTATAGAAGTTATCAATGGAATAAACTAATGTGAACATTCAGACCACTGACTACAGCACTTAAGCAATACTATAACACTTTTCCTGTTCAATCTTGGTGCCTTTTTTGTTTGGTAGTCTAGACATAGCCTGTGTTTCTTAGACATGTTTATAAATGGATTGGAAAGGTGGTCTAAATAAAGGCATTACTGAAATACAAAGCATCTTTTTGTTATACATTGTTGTTATTAAGAAAAGATTCCAAAAGAGGGCTTCTGGCAGTGAGTCATATATTCTGACAGATGTTTTCTACAGATGAGAGTTCAGCTCCACCTTTCCCAAAAATGTAAGTTTTAGGAGAGGTCTTTCTTACAGAGCCCTTGGGAAATAAGTTGTAGTGTAGACTGTGCTTCTTAAAACAACTCCTATCGTGTTTGAAATCCAATGGCAAAAGGTTTTTTTTTTTTTTTCCGGTAAATAAGTGATTTTCAAACTTTCAACTTTCAACATAGTTTGCTCTTTCATTCCAAAATATAGCCTTGCAAGAGAACTTAAAAATAAAGGAATGAGGGAACACTAAGAAAGCTAATTTTACCTTGTGAATGTGAAACTGAGTATGAAGACAAAGATTCTTTGTGTCCTAAAATATGGAAGAAGCTTAAGAAATTTCCTGATCAAATCTCTTTTTTTCATAGCTAGGGAAACTGAAGCCTCACTGAAGTGAGTAGGTATAAGAAGCAAGGAGTGGAAACCAAGCCTCAGGGCTACTTCTAGTTCATTGTTCTTCCCATTATACTTTCTGGAAAGACAGAAGGAATAAATCCTGACAACATAATTAAGAGGTCAAATAAATCACTGAAGGTCATATAGTTAGTAAGTGGAAATGATGGACAAGAATCTATATATTTGAGAACCCAAAGCCTATTATTTATACAACCATATTGTTTATATATTGTTATAAAATGAATTGAAATGTGTTTTTGTTAAAATATATTTGGGTTTCATGAAAGAAACTTTCTCGTGTGGCTCATTGTATTTAGCATACTATAATCATGCCATATGTATTGGATATTCATCCATCAATTTAACATATTGATTGATTCTAATATACATAATGTTTAACCTGATAGCAAAACAACTATTTGCTTAGAAGACAATGGACATTTGTGTTGGTTATAATTCTCTAACAGCAAGAACTATCTCTTCTGAAACTCTCTTAGAGATGTCTTTTTCATTACCCAAGAAACTCTGGAGTGGTAAAGGAAATATCTAGCTGATCTAATTTACTCATAGGAGAAAAAATGATAAAAGAATGATATAGATTTCTATTAATATATGGGGATAGACTTATTCAACTTGTAAGGACACAAGTCTAAACCAAACTGACTCCATGACAGGCTTTAAGTTTTCCCTCTAAACTAGAAGGCCTAAGTTTCAGCTTCTCCAAAACTATCAGGCAGTTACACATTACCCAAGGCAAGAGAAACCACCCTTGCAACACCCAATCAGGAAAGGCCAGCGACCACCCTCCACATTGCTAAGGGAGAGGCCTATAGATAGAAACTATAGATAGGACCCTGCTACCTAATGTTAAAGTTAACCCGTTAGTCGAGGAACAAGACCCTAGGCTCGCTCTGTGATTGGTTGAATTTAAAGTTACTCTAAACGTTGTAATTGGATTCTGCCAAAAGTAACGACTACTCTAGACAATGTGTATGGTCAAACCTGCTGTCAATGATGTTCTATAGTTATGACTGGATCACTGTTCCCCTGCCACAACTTCTGTAACTCCCCCATCACAAACCCCATAAAAACCCTACTCTGCCTTTGCTCGGGGTTCACAGCACGGATCCACTGTGCTGGTAAAGTCTGTGAACCCGAGCTCGAGCCCGTAATAAAGCCCTTTGCCTTTGCATGCATGACTCGGTCTCCCCGGTGGTCTCTGGTCGTTGAGGATACTGCGATCTGGGTATAACAAACTCTTCATCGATTTTATTTCCCTAGAGGAATTAACAGAGATTGGGCTGAAAGAAAGGTGGGAAAATAAGTGAAAGAAATTTTCCTTTGTATAAATACATTTATCTTAATTCCCTTTGTGATTTGGGATTTGTTCCTTGAGTATCTCTCTCCAGTTACAATTTCTTATTTCCTATTTATTTTTTAACTCCTCAGTTCCCATTTTTAAAAATATATTCACTGCAATCTAATTATTGTCCATAAATCTAGTCCTAAACTCCAATTATAATGATTATATTTATAATCAGTATGAAGTTTTGAAACTATTTAGCAGTGAGACAACATAATAGGTATACTTGTTTATATATGCCTCCCATACCTATGTTAAAAACATTTTTAAGCCATGCCTTAAAAATACAGCACATGAACAACTGTATAAAACAGTACTTCTGGCAAGCATAATCTCAAGTTTTAAATTCTTTGCAAGTACTTCAATTATGTCTGCTAAGTCCTTTTAAAATTTCCTTTAACATACTGCAGTGACTAAGAGCAGACACTACAAGGCTGACATATTTTACACGTTTTTAAAGTCTAGCATGTGTGTGTTGTGAGTTTGTTGTAATTGTATGTGCATTTGGATAAATGAAGCTATGTCTCCATTTTTGGAGTCTTTGCTTAATTGCAATCCAAAAAAGAAATTCAATTGTGGCTGCTTTAATGCATTTTTCATAATTCCATTTAAAGAACTGTTTAAATCATAAACTTTAAATATATTCAAGCAGAAGAATAAAATTAATTAATCTTAATAAATCACACTAAAGCAAAGATGTCAATAACATATTAATAAAGAATAACAATTGCATGAAATATTGAGTAAAATCTGTGAAATAAAAGTTAGTAAATAATTTTGAAAATAGTTCAGTAAAATTCTTTTATTTAAAATGAATAAAGGAAATTTAGTTGCAAATTGAGTAAGAAGAAATGTAAATAGTCAGCAAACACAAAAAGACCCCCACCTTCATTAATTTAATATAAAATTGTTTTTTTTTTAGATAGAGAGACCACAAGCATGGTTTGTAAGCAGGCGAGGGGCAAAGGGAGATGGAGAGAGATTGAATTATAAGTAGGCTTAACACCCAGGGAGGAGCCAGATAAGGGGCTCAATCTCAGGACTATGAATTCATGACCTGGGCCGAAATCAAGAGTCAGACACTTAAAAGACTGAGTCACCCAGGTACCCTCAGATAAACTTTTTAAACATAGCTACTTATTTATATTAAAAAAATTTAACATTCCATGGTGGGAAGGGTGAGGTAAAGAGAGCATACATAAATATTTGAGCAGATACAGGTTTTGAAGAGTAATCTGGGAATACGTATATAATTTTAAAATTTGACTATTCCTTGCTCCAGTAATTCAACTTCTAAGAATCTATTCTTCAGTTATACTAGCCTGAAAGAACACATATACAAAAAAATACACCCCTAAACCCTCATGCAGAGCAATACTTGTTGCAAACATTACTTGCAGCTTCAGTGTCAGTAAACAATAAAATGAGAAAAAAAAAATCATAGTACCTCCATTCAAAGTTTAGTAAAACTACTAAATAGTCCTACTAAATAGTCCTATTAAATCGACCTTTAAAGCTACACATTATAATTTATTAAGTGGATAAAAAACCCAAACCAGTGTCTGCAGCATGATTCCAATTTGTAAACAAAGAAACTAATCAGTGAATACAATGAATATAATAAATATATTATATTATAAATATAAGCTAAATGTACCAAATGTATCAAAGTGCATATATGCACATGGAAGTCAGAAAAGCATATTCAGGAAAATCATTAGTGATTACTTACGGGGGATGAATCTGACCAAGTCAAACATAAGAATGACTTTCATGAGTAAATTAGGAAGAAAAATGTTGAGGTTATTGGTGATTTCCCCTTTTTTTTTTTGAATCCATGTTTAGAAATTAAGAGAAAGA